TGCTGAACTACGCACTGCGTACGAAGCTTGGGGGCAAGGTGATTACCTTTGCCGTAACTATGTCCTGAACGGACTTAGTAATGAGTTGTACAATGTGTACAGCTCGGTTGGTTCTGCCAAAGAGCTTTGGGCTGCTTTGGAGAAGAAGTACAAGACTGAGGATGCCGGGGCGAAGAAATTCGTCGTCGGCAAGTTTCTTGACTTCAAGATGGTCGACTCTAAGACCGTCATGTCCCAAGTGCAAGAATTTCAACTTATCTTGCACGATATCCATGCTGAAGGAATGTCTCTGAGCGAGTCATTCCAAGTTGCGGCCGTGATTGAAAAGTTGCCGCCGGGTTGGAAAGACTTTAAGAACTACCTCAAACATAAGAGGAAGGAGATGAGTCTTGAAGACTTGATTGTTCGTCTTCGTATTGAGGAGGACAATCGTAATTCATCGGGAAAAATTCCGATGATGGAGGCTCGTGCTAACTTGATAGAGCAAGGCAACTCGAGCAAAAGGAAGTCCCTAGACAAAGGGAAGCAGCCTGCCAAGGTTTGGAAGTTTACCGGAACTTGTTATAATTGTGGAAAGCCGAACCATATGGCTAAAGACTGCAAGAGGCCAAAGAAGGCTGGGCCAAAGAAAGGTAAACCGAGTGCTCTTGTGGCTGAACACGGCCCTGTGCCGGGTGAACTGACCGACTTTGATATGTCGGCTGTGGTGTTTGAAGCCAATATGGTGGATAACCCAAGGGAGTGGTACATCGATACTGGTGCCACTCGTCATGTGTGTTCCGATAAGGAGGTGTTCTCTGAATACACTCCTGCTAAGAGTCGGAAACTTTACATGGCAAACTCCGCCACGGCTGATGTGGCTGGAGTGGGCACTGTGGTGCTGAAGCTGACTTCTGGAAAGGAGTTGAAGCTTAAGGATGTTCTGCATGTCCCAGACATCCGCAAGAATTTGGTCTCCGGATCTCTTCTTGTTGAGCATGGATTTAGGCTAGTATTTGATGCTAAGAAATTTGTTCTTAGTAAGTTTGGAACTTTCCTTGGTCGTGGCTATCTCGACAAGGGTATGTTTAAAATGAATGTAATGGCCGTGAGCCGTGTAACCGTTTTAAATGATAATGAAAAGCCTATTTCTGTTTATACCGTTGAGTGCTCTGATTTATGGCATATTAGATTGGGACATGTAAATCGAAATGCAATTAAACGGTTGATGAATTTAGAATTAATTCCTAATTCTAAAATTGAATCACATAAGAAATGTGAGATTTGTATTGAAGCAAAAATGGCTAAGTTGCCTTTTCACTCGGTGGAAAGGTGTACTGAACCATTAGGCTTAATCCATACTGATGTATGTGATATGAAAAGTGTGCAAACAAGAACAGGTAAAAAGTATTTTATTACTTTTATCGATGATTGCACAAGGTTTTGCTACTTATATTTATTAAGAAGCAAAGACGAGGCTGTGGAAGCATTTAAAATCTATAAGACCGAAGTTGAAAATCAACTCGGCAAAAGGATTAAAATAATCCGAAGTGATAGGGGTGGGGAGTATGTAGCTCCTTTTGAACAAATATGTTCTGAATATGGCATAATTCATCAAACGACGGCCCCTTATTCTCCACAGTCGAACGGTGTTGCTGAACGCAAAAATCGTACGTTAAAAGAAATGATGAATGCCATGTTGATAAATTCAGGATTACCCCAAAACATGTGGGGGGAAGCTGTTTTAACAGCAAATCATATCCTGAATAAAATACCACCTAAAGGGAAAGATGAGACTCCTTACGAAATGTGGAAAAATCGTAAGCCGTCTTATAAATACCTAAAAGTGTGGGGGTGTTTGGCTAAGGTTTCAGTACCGGAACCCAAACAAATGAGAATCGGGCCAAAGACGGTCGATTGTGTATTTATTGGATATGCGTACAATAGTACAGCATATAGATTTCTGGTTCATAAATCAGAAAATCCAGAGGTATCTGTTGGTACCACGATTGAGTCGAGGAATGCTATATTCTTTGAGAATATTTTTCCTCTAAAAGAAAGAGCAGAATCTAGTTCTAATAAACGAACGTATGAAACTGCTAGTGGTTCTGTACCAGAGGGTACTGATGAAGAACCGAGACGTAGTAAAAGGTCAAAAACGGCGAAAACGTTTGGACCTGATTTTATTACGTATATGTTGGACGATGAACCGAGTTCCCTTAAGGAAGCTCTGTCCAGCCCAGATGGACCACTCTGGGAAGAAGCTGTAAATAGCGAAATCGAGTCCATTATGCAGAACCATACTTGGGAGTTGGTTGATCTCCCTGATGGTTGTAAACCTTTAGGATGCAAGTGGATCCTAAAGAAGAAATATAAAGCTGATGGATCGATTGATAAGTTTAAAGCACGATTGGTGGTCAAAGGCTTTAAACAAAAGGAAGGGTATGATTTCTTTGATACCTATTCACCAGTTACGCGTTTAGCGTCGATAAGAGTGCTTCTCTCGATTGCTGCTTTGCACAATCTTGAGATTCACCAAATGGATGTCAAGACGGCATTTTTGAATGGTGAATTGGAAGAAGAAATATACATGGAACAACCTGAAGGGTTTGTTGCACCTGGACAAGAGAGAAAGGTGTGTAGATTGATCAAATCTTTGTACGGACTGAAACAAGCTCCGAAACAATGGCATTTGAAATTTGATGACGTAATGTTATCAAATGAGTTCAAAATCAACGAATGTGACAAATGTGTTTATGTCAAGAGTACATCAAATGCATTTGTGCTTGTATGTCTATATGTAGACGATATGTTGATCATGGGGAGTAGCCATGAAGTGATCATGGATACGAAAAGAATGTTGAAGAGAAATTTCGACATGAAAGATATGGGTTTGGCTGATGTTATTCTTGGAATAAGGATTATCAGAACTCAAGATGGAATTGTCTTGTCTCAATCTCATTATGTAGAGAAAGTGCTCAAGAAATTTAATGCCTATGACGGTGCACAGTCTAGGTGTAAGACGCCCCTTGATCTTAGTATAAATCTGGTGGCTAATAAAGGTCAACCAGTGGCTCAGTTGGAATATTCACGGATAATAGGGAGTCTGATGTACTTGACAAATTGTACACGACCGGACTTGGCCTATCCGGTGAGTAAGTTGAGCAGATTTACAAGTAATCCCAGTCATGAGCACTGGAATGCTTTGAGAAGGGTACTTAAGTATTTAAGGTACACCCTTGAATACGGGCTAAAATACTCGAGATACCCAGCAGTACTTGAAGGGTACTGTGATGCAAGCTGGATATCAGATTCGAGAGATTCTCGCTCCACTAGCGGATATGTTTTCTGTATTGGAGGAGGTGCAGTTTCGTGGAAATCCACAAAACAAACGTGTATAGCTCGTTCAACTATGGAATCGGAGTTCATCGCTTTAGATAAAGCTGGTGAAGAAGCCGAGTGGATTAGAAATTTTTTATCCGATATTCCATGTTGGGATAAGACTTTGCCGCCTGTGATGATTCACTGTGATAGTCAAGCTGCTATAGGTAGGGCGCAAAGCAACTTGTATAATGGTAAATCTAGACATATTCGTCGTAGACATAATACCGTACGCCAATTGATCACAAATGGTGTTATTTCCATTGACTATGTGAAGTCTAAGGAAAATTTGGCTGATCCTTTGACGAAAGGATTGAATAGAGATCAATTGGTAGTTTTGCTAGAGGGAATGGGCTTAAAAATCCACAATTTAAAGAATGATCATAGTGGTAACCCTACCATGCTAAGTGGAGATCCCAAGAACTTGGTTCAAAGGGAAAACTAAGCTATGAAAATTCAGTTGAGCACTTGGAACATATGAATGTCATAAGCTATTCCCTTAAGTACTCCAAGTGCAAGATGACCTGTTGATTGTGGTGAGGATAAGTCATGTGGACTTTTAATGAATCCCTAACCTTGTAAAGGTGGAGTAATATAGGATACTCTTGATAGGGAGGTCACCTATATAAGTGTGAAGTGTGGGCCGCTTCAAATGTAAACACTTATGAATCCAAAGTGATGTCCATGGCCAAAACGGACACAACGATAGAACGGAATGGAGTTAAGATTCTATTGTGTGAGTGTCATTGTCTAGATGTACACTATGGAGGAATAGTTCAAGGCATCATGTCCACTAGTCAGCCAGTACATCCGATGATGTTTACTAAGAAAGGTTCAAAGCCAAAAACTACCTTTTCTGAAGCAATAGAGTTTTATGAGGATTGAGCACATAGTATAATATATTTGATTTACACTCATGTGGGGGATTGTTATTATTTTGAGTGTAATAAATATATTAGGTGGTTGGCATATTAGGTGTTTGTATTAATTATTAGGTGGATTTGTCATATTAGGTGTTTGTATTATTAGGTGGATTTGTATTATTAGGTGGATGCTAATTATTTCTAAACCACCTCAATCAACCAATAGTATATAATTTATTCACTTCATAATTGCTCAAAGACGTGTGAAGTCATATGCACATTGCTCAAAATCCACTATAAATAGAGGGGCTCAGCAGAAGGAAAAATGTACCATACAGAAGAAAAGAAGAGAAAGATAGAGAGAAAGAAAAAAAATAGAAAAAATATAAAAATATTTATTTGTTATCAAAATAACAAACGAGAGATATTTTTATTCATATTTTTAAGTGCTCAATTCTCGACTCCGTTTCAGTTCGCCGGAGCTCGTAAATCTGGTGTGCTACAGATTTAGAGACGTTTGCCGTTGTATCTTTGGGGAAGTTACGCCTGAACCGTTAGCTGCCACACGGGGCGTATTCTTCTTGCGGAAAGAGTTTTACTCGCCTCGGCTAAAATCCTTCCGTTTTAAGTTTTAATTTATTTTTCGGTTGTAATTTATTTTTCAGTTAGACTGTAATTTTCTATTTTTAGATTATTTGTAAGAACTGAAAAAATACATATCAGTTCGTAGGATTCCCGCGTATTTTATACCAAGTTGATAACACACTCAAAGGAGAATTGTGACTCACCTGTAGGCACATTTGAGGCGACATTCGAGAGAATGAGTATAACGACTGCCAAAACTGCGGTCCCTCCAATATGATCGATTTTCGAATACGGCTCCATGAACTCCCACAATGTGCTCGGAATACCCGTCTTATTAAACCCATCCACGGTTATAAACATCCCGCAAAAGAAAATCAAGAGCGAGTACGAAACCTGCACAATTAATGAAACATTACCAATTAACAATCCTTCTCATATAGTCCTCTTGGAAAATTTTCGAACTGTAGTTACGGAATCATTCGTCAGAGTTTTTAACCGTTAAATACACATGTAAATTAGTGTAGTGTAAATAATCTACGGTTAAAAGAATTGACGTTATGATTCCGTAATAGGACTGTAGTCATTCCTTACAGAAGAATAATGACCAAAATGCCCTTTGTACGACCTTTTCAAGAGAGGCCCTCGCGTCCTTAAAATCGAGCACGATGAGCGCAAGAGCAGCTGTTATCGCGGTCCACGACATGTTGAGACCCATCAACAACGACACCAACATCCCGAACGTGACCAAGTAAACGCACGACTTCCACAAAGCCCCCGTCAATTTTCTCGACAAACCAAACTTCCCTTCCGCAAACAACGTCAATCCCCCGCCCCCGACCCCATTAACCGAAAACGAACTCTTCCTCGACTCGACTTCCAACCTCTCGCTCGGAACCTTCCGGAAAATCTCCTCCTCGCCCAAACGATCCCTACCCGAGTGCATGTTAACCGTAACCTCGCCATTATTATTCACCTCGGACGAGTCGACTCGGTTTTTGAGGCTCGACTCGGTCGACTCGATTGCTGCGGTCAACTCTTGCGAGTCGAACGAGCCTTGGTGCGACATCGTGGCCGGCGTGAAATGATGAGACGTGATGTCATCTTCCCGAACTACGACCTCCTCACCTAAATCCTCCTCGTCTTTCGGCACGACAGACAACGATTTCCAATACATACATAGAAGAATCACGGCATTCGCGCAAACTCCCACAATCATGGCGGGCAAAATCCCGAGCAAGAAGCCGCCGAACGTGATCCCGCTCTGAACCGCAATCACGAGGTTCTGAGGGTTGCCGATCGGCGTGGCGGCCGAGCCTATGTTGGCGCTCGAGGCGAGCGCGAGCAAAAACGGGTGCGGAGGGAGGTTTTGCTGACGGGCGATTTTCAACACGAATTCGGTTAAGACGACACAACAAGTGTCGTTGGTGAAGAGGGCGCTACTTATGGCCGAAATGAGGGAGATTCGGCAGAGGAGATCTTTCGGGCCTCGGGTTTTGTAAGAGAGGAGTTTGCCGAGGTACTTGAACATGTCGGCTCGTTCGAGGTAGACGCTAACGACCATTGTGCCGAAGAGTAAGCCGAGGATTGGGAGATCGATTGCGGCGCAAGCTTGGTCGGGAGAGGAGACTCGGAAAAGGACCATAAGCATGGCGCCGAGGAGAGAACCGGCTGTGCGGCCCACCGGAAGGAAAGGGACGGCTGGGAAAACGGCGAGAATCCAGAACACGGCGAAAGCTGACGAGCCTAGGATTACATTTACGGTGGGGCCCATCACCATTTTTTTTTTTTTTTTTTTTTTNATTTTAATTTCTTGTTTCGTGCAGGGGAAGGCAATGGGGGATCTGGAAAACGAAAAACGAAAACAAAGAAATTTTTTCGATTCAGTTTGACTGGAGAGTGTGTCATGAATCTTTGAATCTCAGACTCTCTCAGTACAGTAGTTTCAAATCGACGGCCTATGATTGATATCAGTCCTCAAATTCAACGAAAGCTCACTTGGAGAACAACTAATTAACTAAAATCGTCCCATTTTGCAGAGTGACAGAAAGATTACAGCCATAAATATCATTAAAACAGAAAAAAACAGAGAAACCCAGCACAGCAAAATAGGCAAAATTATTAATTTTATTCATTTCAATAACAGAAGAAATAAATCACCTGAAACCTTGGAAAAAAAATTCTTAGCTTTAACCTTCAATGGACTACGTGCAGGTTGATTTAACGACATAATTTACATATATATATTTATATATAATTTGGATTGGTACGGTACACATTTTTGCAAGAAGTGTACTATGATATTAATGGAAAATGTAGGTGGGCTTCCCATTGTATATGCACTCGTCGTACGTTGTTGGAATCTTGCGTGGATTGGTGTGTATGGAGTTAAGGATGCATGTAGTTGCTGCATTTCATTTCCTTTCACTTCCTTTCATTTCCTTGTCTCTTATTTTCGTTTCTTTTTTTAGTTTTTGTAGGTGTGTTCCTTTTGTCTAAACATCATCACGACGCTATAGTGTTTTTTCCGTTTCTTTTTTACTTATTACAATCCATAAGCCAATTAAAAAAGGCTGATCTAAGATGGGCTTTGACCCAATAATTGATTTTGCTTATTGGGCTTGGTCTTGTTTGCAAATACATTATTGGACTAACAGTAAGACTGCTAGAAAAATTATAACTGGAGTTTACTTGAATCTCTTCTTGATGAATTGCGTGACTCTGGAATGAAGCTTTTGGTTTTGGATACGAGATTTTATTTTTTTTTATTTTTTTATTTTTTATTTTTTTTTCTGAAACTGTAAATTTTTCTTTACTGATATGTGAATGACTGAATGGTGTTGGGTAGATCGAACGTGTGTAATTTTGTATCGCTTGAGTTGTCTATTTTGTGCAACTAAAAGGACATTTAATTAATTGTTAATTTTTGGAAAGTTTAAATAGGTGGAAATCTAAGTTTTGGATTTGTCTGTTTGAAGAAAGCAATTTGGGAATTGTTGGTAAAAACTCTAAATTGGTGGAAATCTAAGTTTTGGAATTGTCCCTTTTTTTTTTCAGAAATTAATTTGGGAGTTGTTGACAAAAAAACTGTGGAAGACGATTCTTTTCGAATTAAGAAAATTATTCACCTACAATATTTTTATTTTCATATTTACGATTTTTTTTAATTACAACTTATTGTTTATGAATAGTTAATTCGTAATTTGATTTTCCTATTTGTATTTAAATTGCATTGTTTTTTGTTTTTTAGCTCGTTTGTGGATACTGTATGCTAATTTATTTTGAATGTTGTATTTTTGCAAAAAATTAGTAAAGGTTTCAAAGAACCAAACTATTTTAAGTGAGAGGGTATATGAGAAAATTATGTCGTTTACTTGAAAAATCTCTTTTTATCTGCATCATTTTACAAATTTTTTTAATTACAAATATACTATAACTTTTATTATTCTACAATTATTAATTTTGTGGTTATTTTTATTATTGATTTTAAAATTGTATTGTTATTTGATTTACAACTATTTTTAAGTGGTTCATGTATACTTTTATTTTTAATGTCAGATTTCTTTATGTATAGAAACAAAACTCAATGTTGGATAATATTGCAGTGTCAGCTGCTTAATTAACATGATTTTGTCACAATTGATCACTTGGTTAAGCAACAAAATACATCAAAAAATAAAAGAATAAAATACTCAAATAATAAATGTTAGCATATTGATTTGCTCCTATCACTACAAGAAAATAATGAAATTTCAGCAGAAATATATTCCAATAGAATTCCATCAATAATTTCAATAGATATTTCAATGCTATTATTTTCATTGGAAATATTCCAACGAAAATTCCAATAAAAATATGTCGTTTGAATGAGTTTTCTATTGGAATTTCCGTTGGATTTTGACGATTCCGACGTTAAATTTTTCAACGGTAGTGGAAATAAAAGTTCCAACGGAAATTCCAATGATCAAAAGCCGTTGGAAATATAGTCGTTTGAATCATCAAATTTCATCTAAAATTTCAATAAAAAATACATTCCAACAGAAGCTATACCATTGAAATATCTATTGGATTTCCCTCAAAATATATTATTATAAGATTTTCTGGTGGAATATATAACATTTTTTTTCCGGTGCTTATTAGCATTCAGTGCAGTTTGGCCCATTGTTCGTGAATCTTACGAATGAAAAGTAATTGGGAAATTTATTTTATTTTATGCAAAATTGAAAAAATATGCGGAGTAATTTAGTTTGCAGTACGATACGCAACTATATAAAACAAAACTATATATATGAAATAAGAATAAGGTTAAATCAATTTTAGTAAAAATTTCTCGTCAAATTAATTAATGACCTTCTAAAATAAGAAATATCACCCATGTTTTTAATAAAAAAAAAAAAAGAAATTAATTGAATTATATATTTCCTACAAAAAAAATTGTTATATTTCAAGGAAAAATCCTACGGTAATATATTCTAACGAAAATTCCAACGGATATTCCAATGGTATAGCTTCCGTTAGACTGATTCCAACGAAAATATTGCGTTGGAATGACTTTTTTATTGAAATTTTAAATGAAATTTGATGATTCTAACGACTATTTTTCCAACGGTTTTTACCGTATAAATTTTCGTTAGAATTTTTGTTTCCACCTACGTTGGAAAATTTACCGTTGGAATCGTCAAAATCAAATGGAAAACTCATTCTAACGGAATATTCTTGTTGGAATTTCCGTTGGATTTCTATTAAAATATATTTGTATTGGAACTTTTAGTTGGAATTTCATCGTTTTATTGTAGTGATTCTTAATATTTGAATATGTTAAAAAATTATTTTCCTTAATTCTAAATGAAAAATCTAAAATAACTAGCATTTTCGAGTGAAATAAATATATAAATTATATTTAAACTACTATACAACGTAAATATGTTAAAAGAAACTATAAAAGTTATTACACTATTTTTATACTAATTAATCAATATTCTTTAATTGATTTAATTTATACGATTTATAATAATTGTGCAAACCGTTTGGGCTTGAAAATTATAAAACTAGTTTATATATACTCAATTAAGTGGTCGTTTTCATTGGAAGTGTTATGGTATATTCAGTAAAATTGATGAACTAAAAATTGTTCAATGTCAAACATTAACAAGGTTTGTTTGTATACTGGACCACTGGTACACATATCAATAATTGAAAACTAACAAATAATTTTCAACGTTACATTTATGATTTCTCACGAGTACAGCATAAATCATATTTAGACTTTTACGTGGGAATACATTTAAAAAAAAAAAATTGACGTATTTTGTTTGGATCATGTCAATTTCATTTTGATTCAATCAGGACCGAATTACATCACATATATGATCAGAATTTGCATTCTGAATATTTACTATTGGCTAGTTAAACACTTATTAGAAGCATAGGTTTAGTAAATAAATTGATTAATTGATTAAATAAAGCTTTATCAAAATTAATTCCAATAAGGGTGAACACTATTGTACAAAATTCATTTTCTGTTTCAAGAGTTGTAACTTGTAAGTAGTAACAAAAGGAAATTCATGGGTTATTACTTTATGAAAAAATTGAAAGAATAAATGTCCAAATGCATGACTGTGTGGTGTAAAATAACGAACCGCGCAAGTTGACTCGGTCTTTTGATTCTCAAGATCGGACTTTAGCCTTTATCGAAGTTCGACTCGTTAGCTAAACGAACTCAAACTCGGCTCGTTTAACAATATTATCAAGTCGATGTACAAAAGTTACCTAACAATTTTTATTTTTGAGCCTGAACTAAATGAATTCGGCTCATTTCGTCAAGGAACCAAGCTAAAATCGAGTCTTAACGAGCCAAGCTCAAAAACAGCATTAATAAGTTGATTGATTTTATGATGACTAATCAACTTATCAATTTGTATATTGCAAATTATTTATGATGACTCATCAGTTTATCAATTTGTATATTGTAAATTAGATGAGCATGCACACTTAATACGACTAGTACAAGAATATTAAAATTGGCAGCCTCATCCTAATGCAGCATTATGATAATTAAATTAAGTTTTAAAGAAAATAAGTTAATTAATTTTTAGAACAGCAAAGTAAATGACAAGAATTTCAATAGAAAATCTGATAACAATAGCCGACCGTCATATAAATGACAGGGTCTACAATACTATGATGTGATCATGTGATTATAATTTTTCGAGGTATCAATAATTCATTATTATTTTATATTTTTTAGAAAGCTACAATTACTCTTAAGAATATAATAGCCAAAACCTAGTTGAAAATGATTTCATATCATTATCAGATTGTTTGTATGTAATATTGTTTTTGCGTTTCGAATTAAAAGAGCCATAACTGAAAAATTGTTTAAGATTGCAAAATGCAATATATTTGAGAGAATTCAGTATGGATAGATTTGAATTCACAATGATTGAGTAGCACTACAATTTGTATCTTGTAACTTCATCATAATTTTTCAATAAAATATATAATTTTACAATAAAAATATTATATTTATATTATTTAATATTTCGGTATTAAAAACATTTATAACTACTGGAAAAACACTCTATTAATTATTAGGTGTGCCTAACGCCATAACTGACACGAGTAAACTAAAAATATCTCGAAACCAATATTGTAATATTTTCACATCAAAATAAATAAAACGTTTTATTTATGAATTTTGTTTTTCAACTTTCATTTAGAACTAGTATTCGATACTATGCGCATTTAGAACTAGTATTCGATACTATGCGCAAGCACAAATGTAAGTAAAATATTATATGTAAAATTATAAGTTATTTAATGAGTATACAATTTATAATTATGCACATGCACAAATGTAAGTTAAATATTATATTTAAAATTATAAGTTATTTAATGAATATACATTTTATAATTATGATCATTATTAGAAATTAGCATTATAATTATAAAATATGGGCACCATAAAAAAATGGGACCTATCAAAATAAATCATGTAATTGAGTTTTTGTTATTATATTAGCATTATATTTGTATTTCAGGACATAAAAAGGCGTTGCAGAATTGGACACCATCCAAAATGTGGTCTGTCAAAATAAATCGTGTAACTGAAAGTTACATATTATTATTAAATGAACACCTATTTTTATTCAATGAACTAGTATTATTATTAATTTCTAGTACAATAAATTTATTGAAACTCGCAAGTAATTATATATATCACTACAAGAATAATCATTTTTAGTGGCGATAATTTTTGTCGCTATATGTTCAAATGTCGTCACTAAAAATATCGTCGCTATATGTTCGAATGTCGTCACAATAATCATTTTATAGTCATGACATTAATGTCGTCACTAAAAATAGTGTCGCTAATAATGATTATTCTTATAATATATATATATATATATTATAAAAGAATCGGGCCGCTCCACTTATTAACTAATCATATGGATAAAAGAGTTCAAATTCGTCTCATTTACATCTCTACTTCCACTCCATTAACTACAATTTCAAGTTTGTAATTTGTATAATCCCCAATGAATTCAAAATTAGGACTAAAACGAGATCAAACATTGACAAAGTGTGACAAATTCAATGTCTAATTTCATTTAACATTTAGTATTTAGATCAAAAGTTGGTGAAGGGAACAATTACAAACACACGGTGTTACTAGGCAAATCTAACGATTTAGACAATTATAATTTTTTTTTATAAATATACATAATTTCAAACAAAATTGTCATATTCTTAAAAATAATATAAATAATTAAATATATAGTTTTATGCACAAATAAAGTTAGAGCTAACAAGGAACATTAGGGGGTGATTGTTTATAAATTCAACTAGATTTTAATTGGTTTTTTTTAATTATAGTTAATTTTGAAAAAAGGTGGTATGATTAGTTGTTAGTGTATATATTAAAATAATATTTAAAATAAAATAATTAAAGTTGATATGATGTAAAAGTAGGAGAAAAATGATTGAAAGTGATGATTAGTTAAAGTTATGTAAGTGGATGAATAGTGAATTAAAATTGATTGATGTATAAGAATGATTGGTTGATATTATTTAATTATATTAATAATATTAAAAATAATAAAATTGGGTGAAAATAAAGTTAAATTTGAATTTTAATTGGTTTTTTTTAGTTGAGATGATAAACAATCACCCTTAAATAATTATCTCTAAGCATAGCAAAACGTAAGCTGTGAGTTTAACCATCAAAACCAAAGAAAAGTATCACTACGTAAGTTGTGAATTAAATCATAAGTCAGAGAAAAATATCACTTCATATTGATTGAAATCTCATGCGACTTGTGAGTGTTGACGTGTCATTAAAAGCTGCATCCCCAAGTCAAACTCAAAGCCACGTTTTTCTTCAATTTTTTAAATGATTTCCCATTAATCATCATAGTATAGTTCTTGAATATGTGTACCAGTCCATCCATACTATATATTAGGCGGCGGATTATGTAAATGTCGATAAATCAACGCCAAAGGCACCTGCACATAGTCCATGAAAAGGTTAAAGCTAAGAGCTTTTCTCCAAGGTTTCAGGTGATTTATCTCTTCTGTTATTGGTCACTTTTTTAATTTTTTTTTTTTCCATTCATGAAATGAATGAAATTAATAATTTTGCCGATTTTGCTGTATTGGGTTTCTCTGTTTTTTTTTTTTCTT